ACTCATTAGCAAAGTGAGTTAAAAAAAAAAAACATGGAGAAGCTGGGGTTGTGGCTAAGTGCTTGCCTAGCAGGTGTGAGGCACTGGGTTCAATCCTCAGCACCACATTAAATAAATAAATATTATTAAAAAACYCACTGTGAATGTGGTAGAAATAGGTGATATTTGCCAAGTCTCCACTTTTTTTTCTATACCAGCACTCCTTTTCTACAATTGGATAATCTAAAACATAATGTGAAATCTACATATGTAACTTAATACCTTATTTCATTTATTGAACAAAACACATAATTATTTAGATGTTATTATGTCTATCTTACAAATGAGAAAAGTGCAGTTCAGAAAGTTTAAGGAAATCCCCATATGTAGAAGAGTTTCCTAGGCTGATGTGTGTAACCAAGAATCTATGTTATTAATCATCAATTCATCATTCTTCTAAGATACTGGTTATTTTGTTTCTTCACTTCAAAAAGCTTAAGTATTTTTATTTTTTAGCATGATATTGTGATCTATTTAACTTAATTTCATTGTGAGAATGAAATTAAGGCCAGTTGGGTAATACATACAACCACCAAGACARGGCAAAGACTGGTAGTATAAACTCTGTGTTCCCCTGACACTGTTTAGTTATTTTTTTCCATGGTAAAGACAAGAATGTGGTGGGTGGTCCAACTATTCCTTTTTCCAGGAATCTGCCCCAGTTAGACATTACATTTTATGTTTAGTGGCCTAAGCTCAATCATGATGTGCAGTGTAGTCATGGGACGTGACACATGATATCAATGAGCAGAAGCCACAGCAAGCAAAATCCAAGGAGACAAAGTAAAACACACACACACACACACACACACACACACACACACACACACAAACATACACACACACTCCCCTATTGCCAGAGGAAGATACATGAGAAATATACATGCAACCATGAGGTTGAAGCTATTCTGGGCTGGAGAAAGAGGTAGCTGAAAAACTTAGCTGAGGTCCTCAGTAACAGCTCAGATGAAGACCTGAACAACCCTCCTGGATCCTCCTCCTAACGGCTCAAGAAATACTAAGGAGTTTCTATATTTTGACTATCTAAATATTTTGCCAGATCTRCATTCTTTTTAGCCACAAAGAGATGTGTAACCTTGGTGTGAAGACTGAGTAAGCATTATTGCTCTGCSGATAAGCACCTTATTTCTTTAGACAGTGGTTGTTTCCTTCTGGAGTCTCCTTTAGAACTTGGCAGGTCTCTCTGCTTTTCCTATGCTAGCTCACACCGTACTATGCTATATGTTGGTTTGGTAACACATGTTGAATTTTGCCTCRTGATTTGGATAGAAGAGTAAGCCTGGATTTGCTGCATATTAGTATGATTTATAGAACACAGAGGAGATGAACTCAGGAAACCCCCAAGGTGTGTAAATAACAGTAAATAGAGGGATTTACAAAATATGTTCCAAAGTTCTGCTGTAGTAACCTACCTATTAGTATTCTTTAAATAAAAACCAAACTGTTGAAATGTTAGCAGCAACATAAGTTCCTTATTTAAAAAAAAAAGAAACGGACAAAGTTCAAATATGAAAAACAGATTCTCTGGCCCTCTCAGTGCAGGAAATGAATGCCTGTGCATTCAGCTCCATGCTCTTTAAACTTAGCTTTTTAKGGTGACAATGCAGCGTTACTCCTTTGTACAACTAACATATTCCATGATAAGGATAATGGTAATAATAATAATGCACAGCATTTCATATTTTTTCATTGTTTTCATAGACATTCTCATTTGATCCTCCCTAAAGCACTGTTAAGTCTAGTGACCAAAAAGGACACAAAGCCATAGATGTGAGCTACCTAGGAGTACACCAGAGAGCAGTCAGGCTCTCTGGTCTGTCTCACACTCTTATGAGTGTGTTGTTATTGAAACACACATATCTATATCTCTCTCTCTCTCTCTCTCTCTCTCTCTCTCTCTCTCTCTCTTTCTCTCTCTCTCTGTCTCTCAGAGCTAGAAAATCTTGAAGATGAGACAAGATAAAAGGAATATTGGCCTCCATTCTAGATTCTAATGTCACATATCATGCTCTTCCTTTAGAACAGATGTAATGTGCCAGAAAAAATGGGAAATTTAGCCTGCAGAGAATAATTTGAATATTTTTTGGATGACATTTCCCACTAAAGAAAAGAATTCCTATAGCTAGCTAACCTTATAAAACAACAACAACAACAACAAACTACCCACCTTGCTATCTATAGATCATCATCTATCAGCACAGAACTACCTTCACATTTCAGATATATTGCTTAAGGTCAACACTTGGCTTTGATACTCAAAATTGCCCCCAAACCCACTTCTCACGACATCTGAAGAAGAAAAATGAAGACTTTTCTGGTATAAGGATTTAACAGAGTTCTGAGTTCTTGTATAAAGCAAAAGTTTCTCATTCATAACAAATAGTAGACATCAGCTGGGAGGTTGACTGCTTTTCTGCTATTTCCTACAATAAAGTTTCTATCTATCTCTTCTTTCCCTCTTTATCTACCTGTGTCTCTCTAGCTATCAGTTGTACATGCTTTTGTAGATATTTTCAGGAACAGCTTTTTATCTGGAGAATATGGCTGCCTGAAAGAGTTATAGAATATAACAAAAGCTTTACCCCGAAGCTTCGATGCATTACAAAAGCTTGCACTTGGATAAGAGAAATATTGAGCCTCAGGTGACTGAGAACACTTACTGTTGGTTGCATAACGTATGGCGGATGAGGCATCCATGAAGTACTCTGGACCTATATCAAACAGCATTTATTAGCACAAAGCAATCACAGAGAGAACTGGTTCTTGTGTTCAGTGGAGTCACACTAGGTCATAAGGAAGTGGATTCCATCTGACTTTACAGCTAATKAACGCTCAAAACTAAGGATCAAAAGGAAATTCTTAGACCTGAGTAATTTGGTCCCTGAGACAATGAAATAAAGCAACTTCCCATTTCTCTGGCTGGCTTTGCTTTTAGTGTCCACATGGAYGAGACTGGATCTTGAAGCATATTTGAGATTGGTATTGAAGATTCAAGACTTAGAAGGCCTCAGAGACTATTTTCAGGTCAATTCCCAGGGATACTCTGGGAAATAATCAAGGCAGCAAGAGTTAACTGCTAGACTTCCTCTTTTTCTGTCTTTGGTTGTGACTTTAAATCCTCAGGTGATCCCAATCTTAGAAAAATGTCCAAGGAGCAAAAGTGGTATTTAAAAAAAATGAAGAAATAAACCAGAAAATTGTGAGGAGTGCTTTGGGCTAAACCCAAGTTTGGAAATTCTTTTTTTTTTTTTTTTTCCTCTCTCTCTCATGGCAATTGGTATGGAGAATAGAAATGTGCATTTGAGCCAGCCAGCTCTTCTTAAAGGTATCATGTATCAGTCAAATGAGAAAGTCAGACTGTACAAGCTGACTGTCACATAGGAAACCATGAAKATTTTGTTTTCCAATACATTCACACCAACAAAATTGCCAATTCACTTTACATTATGAAAACATAAAAGTGGTGAAAAGCCAAGAGTCAACAACATGGGAAATTGCTGTAATCTCTTTTTTTTGAAAGAAAAGAACTAGAGTTAAATTTCACGTATGAGCCCTCCCAAGTGAAGTGTCTTTTCTGTGCATTTTTTATTCATATCTCCAAAGTGCTCTACACTGTGTCTTAGTGGGTGGTCTTGGCTGAAGCAGAGACCAAGATTAGAAAAAAGAAAGCTCGCACACACATGCATGCACACACACGTGCACACACACACACACACACACACACGCACAGACACACACGCTGGCCTGCAGGAAGAATAAAAACTGGATAGCACCTGCATATGGCCTCATGGGTCCCAAGGAAAGACAATTAAGAAATCAGCCTTTCTACGACCCCCTAATGTAATTCAAACAAAAGTCCATTCCATTCGCCCATGGGTATATTTCAAGAGTGTAGAAAAAGAGTGAAAATGATCTGCTTCAGGGGGAATCAGTGAAAGAAAAATGCACATAGTCTTAAGTTTGATGCTCTGATAGCTGGGACATCCTGAAATGAAGTATGCAGTGRCTCAATAAGGTGAAACTTCACTGAATTAGTAGCAGTCAGCACCATGATAGTTTTACCCACTGTAAAAYGTCCAACCCCACCATTTGCAAAACACAGAGAAGCATGTGCTGGTTCTCTCTTTCACAACTTTTTCAAAAAAGAAATACTTCCTAGATGTAGCATTTATAGGCATTTTCTAATCAGAATTAGAAGAGTTGTTTGAAGAATAACTAGGTAAAGAGGAGAAGGGAGTAATATCACATCTCTCAAAGGAATAAGGAATATTTTTTTTTTCAGGGAAAAGTATGACAATTTCAATCCACCTGTGCACTTGGAATGACTGGTCGCAACATTTGGTTTAAGACACATTGAGTCTCAGATTTTCTTGTGTTCCAACATGTGGAATCACGGAGATCCCTTTTGATCCCTCTGGAACTGAGAATGAAATATAAACAGGGAGCAGGAATCACTTTTACCACTTTGATAATTTTCCTTATTTGCGGGGGAAGTATGATTTAACCTCTAAATGTGTTGCTGTGACAAAATGAGATGACAATGGTGAAATATTCTAGAATAAGTGAAGGGATTGCTAGAAACGTGCTTTTCGGAAAGACACAATAGGGAACATGAACAACCAAAATAACAGACAACAAATAAAATAATTCCCCAGTGGTAAGAGAGCTGTACTAACAGTGGCTGGCAAGTTGCATAATCATAAAAACTCAGCAGGAAGAATGAAAAGCATGTTGGATTTTATTATTCAGTGAATTGATGCAAACCGGCCCTAGAAAGTAWAGACTAATTCATAACTTGAGCATCATCACACTAAGAGGAGACTATAGTATATGAGGACATTTTTTTTTTCCGATTAATTCTAAATGTGCCCTTTTTGCCTCTACATAGTGAATTACTGGTAAGGAAGATCTCTCCTAAGGTGCAGGTGAATCAGACATACCTGGTATGTGGAGACAGGGGAAGCAGCAATGAATGGCGTGATAGATGTCTGTGGAATCATGCGGTTGGTTGCAATACTGTACGGTGAAGAATAAAATCTGCAAACAGAAAAAAAAAAAAAAAAGGAAGAAGAAGAAGAAGATTTCATGAAGCTGCTGAACGCCTGGCTACTGATCAATGCTACTGAGCACGTTTTAGAAAGACAAGCGTTCCACCCTCATGATTTTCCACCAACTCTTAATAGGAGCATCCAGGGGATTAACAGTATTGGATTCCACTAAGAGAAGTCAATCATYGAACAAAATGACTACTTCAAGTCATTATATAAAATTAGCTGCAAAAATCTCTCTCTAATGCCAGGTGAATATAACAGTAATTTAATCAACAAGATCAGAAAAGCCATGGTCATCGGTCATCATTCTTTTCAAAAAAAAAAAAAAAAAAAGGGTCAGGCCATTCTAAAGCTCTGTGGGAGAAAGGCAAACGAAAACACCAAGTTTTGTGAAGATGGCTAATATACCAGCAGGAACTGTATCTATCTCTTTATTCAAGAAATAAGTATCAGTTCCTAGGAAGTTCTGGATATTTCAGTGCTAGACATTGTGCCCTCAGGCAGAGAATTCTTTCTCCACGAAAAGAGAAGAAAGAGGAAAATTAGTGTATAAAAATAGGAATATTTTCTGGATTCAATGAAGATGGAGAAAACTGRATCTATATGACAGACTCTTGGAGACTCTGGGGTCCTTCATAGAACAATTATAAAGTGATACTGAGCAAAATCAGGATTTCACATGCTACAAGTGGGATGATTCTTCTGGAGATCTAGTAATGAGTGGATCCTAGAAATAGAAATAAGTTGTATGCCCTTCTTTCTTCAGGATGTACCTTCGAATTCATGAGTTGCTCGATGTCAAATTCATCTGCAGAAATTTAAGTCATATATTCTCCTTCCTATCTCACTATAAGTGAAMAAATAAAACCAGGTTTCCTGGGATGGAGTATTTCGCTGATGTAAGAATTGATAGAGAAAAATGAATATCAGGGATAAAGGAATCATTACTTGAATTTTACCATATGCCTATCAAAAATCAATTACTATGTTCACGTTTTAAAATTATTGAGACAAAGTCCTAATAAGCCTTAGTAGTCACTGATGTTTTTTCATAGAGAATTTCCTGGGTTACTTGAAAAGGAAGCATTTCCTGAGACTGCTATTGAATGTAGACAAATGAAGAGTAAAGGTTGCCAGGATTCAAGGAGTAAATTCTTCAAGTAAGGACTAGGGGATGATTGTCTTAACATTATTTTATCTAGTTCTTAACAAGAATTTTATGAGGCCATACACTTTTAATTCTAAAAAAAAAGTATAGCTGAAAAAAATTAGTCCATTCTACATTATATCATTTCTATCCAATAGACCCTTAAATTTATAGTTGTATGTTTAAAAAAAAATATTGGCTACATGTTTATTAGGATGGCAAAACAAAACAAAGCTGGGTGCTGACAAGGATGCAAAAAAAAAGTAGAATTGTCATTCATTGCTCCTGGAAACACACAATAGTGCAGCCATTTTAGAAAACAGTTTGGCTGTTTCTTATAAAGTTAGCAGTACACACATCATAGGACTCAGGAATGCCACTCTTCTCAATAAAAAAATTCATGAAAATTTTTCTTTAAACAAAGAGATTAATGTGAATGTTTATAGAAGCTATGTTTATATTTGCCTGGAATTGGAAAGACCTTAAATGTCATTGAACTGAATTGATAAACTATGGTGTATTCATGCAATGAAATACTACTAGGGGATTAGAAAAACAATACGGTCACCCCGTGGTCTCATGTGTGATTGGTTCCAGGACCCACCACAAATACCAAAATGCAAGAATGCTGAAGTCCCATGTATAAAATGGGGTAATGTTTTCATTGATCCTGAGTACATTTCCTATATGCTTTGTGTCCCCTCTTAATTACTTATTACACCCAGTACRATGTAAATGCTATATAATTAGTTGCTATTCTGTATTATTTAGGAAATAATGTCAAGAAAAAAAGTCTGTGTATTTTTAATACACTCATATATTTTTTTCCCCAAATATTTTCTCTCTTAGTTGAATTAGTCGGTGTGGAATCCACAGACAGTAAGGGTCGAATGTAACGACTGGTACAGTCAAAATGATGACTCTAAAGCGAATTATGCTAACTAAAAGAAGTCAGACTCAAAGATTATATACCATATAATTTCCATTTATATTACAACATGAAAAGTCTAAACTATATTGACAGAAATAGTTGAATTGGGGTGGGAGAAGGGGTCTATTTGTTGTTGTTTTGTTTTTGGTACTGAGGATTGAACTCAGGGGCACTCAACCACTTAGCCACATCCCCAGCCTTATTTTGTATTTTATTTACAGACAGGGTCTCACTGAGTTGCTTAGTGCCTCGCCATTGCTGAGGCAGGCTTTGAACTTGTGATCCTCATGTCTCAGCCTCCTGAGCTGCTGGTATAACAGGCATGTGCCACAGCACCCAGCTAGAAGGGTCTAATTCTAAAGCAACAGGAGGTGATTTGAGAATGGGCTACAGCTGTACAATACCTTGATGGTTGTTGAGGTTACACAGTTGTGTAGGCTTGTCAAAATTATAGAATGATACACTGAAAAGGGTGAATATACTGAGTAAGTTATATGCAGTTGTCTCTTTTAAAAAGACAATTATTATTTAATAAAGCATCCATCGCTCCAATTTAAAAATATATTAAGCATTTTCTATGTGTATCGAAGATGGATAAGACTCTGAAATATCCCTAAGAGTTTCTCTTAAGAGTCACTCAAACTATACCTTGTTTCCACTCTCATCAGCCTAACAGCTCTCCAAAGGATTTTCATTGCAAAAAAAAAAAAAAAAATTAAAATAAAATTTAAACTCCTTGTCCTGGCCAGTTCAACAGGGTACCTATTGCTTACCTCTCAGATATTTTCCTACCTCATTCCTAYTTGGTCAAGGAGGATTCAACCCCACTGACTACCCCCCCCCATCTCCCTCAAGGCTACTCAACTTGTTATTCTTTCTCTCTAGAATKCTCACTTCCCCAAACTCCCTAACACTGCCTCTTTTTCATCTTTGGGCTCACTCCACTGTTTCTTCTTTAGAGAGACCTGTAGGTGATGGAGCAATGGCTGCTTGTTCCCCAGCTCCTTTTTMTTATGTATTTAATGTCTTCTTTGTATCTATGTGAAGTCATAATTTCCAAAAATTTATTTACATATGTTATGGATTGAATGTTTGAGCCTCATCCTCACTCAAATTCTTAATGTGGAAGTCCTAACTGCTAGTGCAGTTGTATTTGAGGAAGATCTGGAAGGAACTATTTAGAATTAAATGAGGTCATAAGGTTGGGACCCAGATTGGATAATATTAATGTTCTTAATAAAAAGAGACAGTAAAGAGCTTACTGTTTACATGCTTTGGGAAAAAGCCATTTGAGGATACAGTCCACAAGTTGGGAAGAGAGCTCTCACTAAAACCTAACCGCCAGGGAGCTTGATCTTGAACTTGTAGCATTCAGAATTTGTGAGAGGGCAAATTTCTGTTGTTTCTGTTGTTTAAAACACCCACTCAATACTCTTTCTCAATGCATCCCAGACTGGAAAATGCAATGTCTTTATCAATGATTTCTCTCTTTAGAATGTCAGCTCAAATAGCAGATGCTTTATAACTATTGAATATTGAATGAATGAACACATGCAGAGCAGCTTGGGGGATTAAATAGTGATTATGGTACAGGATGGCCAATGCCCAGAGGACAGAAACAGAAAAAAATGGGTCCCTGAAGCCAGGTAGGAAGCTAAGAGATAAGAGCCCAGAGAACACAGTCCAGCATTGCATACTCTGTTTTCTATGCATACAAAGACAACAGTAACTAGACAAAAGTCCTTTTCTATGAAAAACATGGTTTGCATTTAATAACCCCCTTTAGGTCTTACTTTTGACAGGTCTTATCTATGAGGCAGTAAACAGAAAGACTGGTCCAGGGATCATGAAGACGTGACAGGCTCCCAAGACCACTCAAACAACAGTCATTCTCTTACACCACGTAGTAGTTTAACTTCCTGTAGAAATTCAAGTTTAACCTCTTATACCGACAGAGAAAATCATGCATCGCATTTTAGCATGGCTGGTCTATTTTATAAAATGTACCAATTGGAGTATTAAAAATGAAAGCAATAAAAATTGGATTGACAGGAAGAGTTTACAGGAAATTCCATGGGGAAAACTGAGAGCAGAAACATAAAGAAACCAGCCAAGTAAAGTGATACTAACAAAAGGAACCCTTGGGGGAAAATTTAATGCATTTTTGTTCTATCTGTGCTAATCCTATCCATCAAATGAGAATGATATTTCATACTTCCTAGCAAGTTCCAATACTGCCACTCAAGTCAGAGTCATTTAGAAGGGAAAATGTACTGGGAAGAACAGACTGAGCACAGCATACTATCTTGATCCTCTAATTCTGGTATCTGAAAATAAGCTCTTCTCAAGCCCAAACACAAACCAGATGAATTTACAGAAAGCCCTTGCTTAAACCAGGACAGGAGGGACTACTAGTGTGTCTGAGGCTTAAAGGTGCTATATCTAAAGAAAATACACAGAAACTCAAAGGGAGAACTGTAGAATGTGCTTTCCAATCTCTTAGCTTTTTCCTATTCCCTGTCATGTGTCCATATCACAGTCTGAAAATACTTTCTATATAAGAGGCATCACCTCAAAAAAAAAAAATTAGAACATCCCAATAAACCTTCAGGCAGAAGTGACATGTTATTGGGGACCAGGAAAGAGAAAATTGACAAAACGTTTTAGCCATAATAATAGATTGAAGGTAGTTCCAAACATGTGCCCTTATGCTTTTATATTTGTTAACCCATGCATTCTACCTTGCAAAATCCTGTTACAGAAAACTGAGAATGCACTGCTCAACACATTTTCCTGAAATCAGTTTACTCTCTTAAGAGAGATTTCTWTGACAAGATTCACATAATACTATGAATGTAACAAGGACCCCTTTTATATTCAGCCTTGAACTTCTAAGCCAGAGGGGATT